GTGGTCTCGTAGCCTTTTGTTTTTGGTAGGCTCTTTGGCACAGCCAATGGGGGCAAGCATGAATCAATCAATCACCTGCCTGCCTATTGACACAATAACTTGCAAGTTAGCAGTCGCATGCTGTGAGATTGGAGACCCGTTGATGAGGACCGCAGAGCGGCCACCGAGAAGTTCATGACGAGAAAGGTAGAGATAGTTGGGAAGGCTTGGGGAGCTTCTGCCAGAGAACGACACAAAAGCTGGCATGTCTTACACGGCCGTCCGCCCAATGTCCAACGTCTTTATTGTCCATCTTACCCCCTCTCTCTCTCTTCTTTGCGATTTCTACCGTTATCGACTTCTCATTTTCACTTTGATGTTCCGCTGGGACTGCCAGCCAAACAGCCGGCTGCGGCGGTGATGTCTCTCAATGGACTTCCAGCAGCCGAGACGAAGCACCAACAAACGAGTTCTTCGCGTGCCGAATCTACACCTGCTTGGTTGAGAATAAACCAAGCCAAATGATGATCAGGCCACCTTGCACTCCTACAAGATTCTTCTGTCGCTGGAATCTTGCGCCCAACGAGACATTGGAAGCTTTGCGTCCGTTACAATACAAACTTCTCGTCTGACTCTATTGAGTATCCAATCGAATCGATTTTCTTCTTCATCTAATTTCACTAGCGACACAGTGATGGCCGTAAGCCAAAACTAGGCATGAATAGAAGAATGTCCATCCGCTCCATTAGTTTATAGTCCAAATCACCACACGTTTCTCCTTGCTGCGTTTTCCCGAACCAACTTGATCGCTTTTTGTTTACCTATTATACACGTGATCCATCCAACAGCATCATGGCTTAACAAACTCCCCAACCTCATCTAACACATATACAAGAAAGTAGCAAGGTTGTCATAGGGGTCACTTGGCGTGCTATCCTACGCAACTTCGAGGTAGCCCGTAGCAAGAGATGCCGCCGCCGCCGCAGCGGCAGCAGCGGCAGCCGCTTCGCCCTCCGCGGAAACAATGCCTTCATGGGCCGTTGCCAGATCCGCGAGGTGCTGCAGGCCATGACTGGCGGCTGCCGTATCAGCAGACGACGATGTCGGGCGCATGACCTCTGCCAGGCGGTCGCGCACACCAACCCAGTGCTCGCTGCCGCTCTCGACAACGTCGCGGGCGAGCGCCAGGGCCTCGTCACGCGTGCGCTCCGACTTGGACAGCGTGGTGATGGACATGGCGGCCAGCGAGACGTAATGATTGACGAGCGGGCTGCGCAGCAGCGGTGTCGCCAGCAGCAGCTGCGTCACCTCCTTGGTCGGCCAGAGCGTCTCCGTGGCGGTCGATCCGGGCGTCAAGAGGGTGATGAGAAGCTTGCAGTGCCAGTAGGCGAGGTGGATCAGGGGGTATGCGGCGGCGTCCACGTGCGCGGGTAGCTCTTCGCGGTAGTTTTCAATGTAGTCGCCTAGGATGGCAGCCATGGGCACGTCCGCAGTGGCGACGCCCACCGGGAAGTTGGAAATGACAAAGGATATCCGATTGAGAAGCTTGGAAAGACCTAAAAGGGGCAAGTGTTAGCGAGTCTTAAGAATGACTTAAGATATGAGCAGGGTCTTGCGTACGAGTGAAATAGTAGCAGGTTTCTCCAAGGACGGCATCCAGCCCCGCGTGGGCTACCACGCTATTGTCCGGAATCTGAGGCGGCTTGCCAGTGCCAGCAGCGTACCACCGATCCATGCCGATGAGCGACCACCAGATGCGCGTGCAGAGGGCCTCGTCAGAGTCCGTCTCGGCAGCAGGATCTACAGGTGGCAGCCTCCAAAGCTTCATGCTGTTTGCGAGGCCGACGGCGCGCGACAACAAGAATGGCAACGTCGCCACAGAACGCCAATCCGCGTCAATGATGAGCAAAAGTAGCGTCTGCGCGTGCACAATGTCCGTCGCACGTCTGCGCGGCACCTCGCTGCTCTCCCAGTCGTGCAGCAGCGCGCTCGCCTGCTGAACATCGCCCGCCGTGCTCTGACCGACGGCGAGCAGCGCAATCTCAAACGCCGTGCGGACAGTCAGCGGGCACTGCGCCAGCAGCGCTTGCTGGCGCGTCTTTGTCGTGGCGAGGATGGGGTAGAGGGGCTGCACTGAGTTGAGAAAGTCGTTGAGCACGCCCTCGTCAATGTTGGGTACGTGCTCGCCGTCCTCCATGGGCATGTCACCCACGTCCTCGGAGGCGGGTTTCGAGGGTGTGTCATTCAGAGCAGAGGGCTGTGGCGCCAAGTGTGCGTTGTTGTAGTATGCGTCTGAAGGAGCTGCTTCTGGGGGTAATGATCGAGGTTCTGAGCCCCATGGTGCCTGACGAGTCGGGGCCGGTGTGCCGAATTCATTTGAGATGCTCGAATATGGGCGCTTGCGATTAGCATCCTCCACAACCGTAGTGCCGTTCGTACCACGATGACGTTCTGCGCTAAAGATTTTGTCGAGTTCGTCTTGCGACACGCCACCTTCATTCTCGAGCTTGCTCTCGATGCTGTTAATTCGGTCGGCGAGCTCTTTTATGTAGCTACATTCTATATCAGCAACACTGCATATACGTGAATCGAACCATAATTCTACTGTACCCTTTGCTAGGCCCTCTTTTCTGCGGCACGCGGCTGAATAGACAGCGAATGACAGACCGCGCGCAGCTCGAACACGGGGCCTCGCCAGTGTCGGTCTGCGCGTCGCATTTGATCTTTTTCCGTCGGCATTCGTCGCAGGCACGCGAGACCTTGGAGCGTTTCCTGGGTGGAACCCCATCTCCCATGTTGTACTGGGCGAGAGGCGGGCCAAGAGGCACTTGCATGCTGTGCTGGACAATGTGGTCCGAGGTAGGGGTATCGTGCACATAGTTCGGGGCACCGTGATGGTCCGGTTCGGGATGAGGCATGATACTACGCATGCCAGTCTCGTCGACGCTCATGTTTGGATCTGTCGCTGATATAATTCCCGCACCAGCCAGTCCCTGGCCGAGCTGCGCAGCGAGTTGCAGCTCTTCCAAGTTGGCTGGCCGCGACACATCTTGATGGTCTTGCTCTGGGTTTTCTGCGTGAAGATGACTTTGGTCGTCAGGGCCGGGCACATGGTTGTCCACATGCTGATCCGTGTGTTCATGAGTTTCTTGCGTGTCGTCTCGTCCGTTTGCATTGTAGAAGGGGCCCGTATCCATGGTTTCGGCCCCTGGCGACGGGTAATTCAGGTTCGATTCGTCGGCCTCGTCATCACGGTTGTGACCCATGGCGGGCAACGATGTACGAGGGATGGACAAATTCCACTGAAAACAAGCCAACAATGACGATTGTTTTATTTCGCCAACAAATATGCTGTCTAATTATTTGGTTGTAACGTGCCGGCTTTAATCGTACTAGACTTATACGCAAGTCAACCGTGTTAGTCGCAACACTGCTGCCTCGTCGCGTTGAGCAGAGTCTAAGACGCCATTGTCAGCACGCGTACCAGCGCAATGCACCAGCAACCATAAATATTGCCCCAAAATAGGGCGTGAACATGTCGCTGGTAGAGAATGTAGGCAAACGCCGACTTAGACAGAGCCGTACCTGGAATCCGGAGGATGATAAATGCGATGGACCCGTCGCGCGTACAACGGAATAGGAAGAACTCGGCGCCGTGAAGCGTGTATTTTTTTGCGATCAGACCACGGAAGTGGAAAAATTTTTCTGCACCGCGAGGCGAGAGTTGGCCCAGGCTTAGTCATCCTGATCCGTTTCGCCGCGCGCAGAGCCGCACTACTAATAGTTAGAGGTGCTTGCGGCTCCAGTGAGCTTATTATTATCTAGCCCTTTGTTTCGAAGTTGACCCCTTGACCACGGAATGCATGGGACATGTCCGGATGATATGGAATATATCCAGCGGTGAAGTCCATGGCAGCTTCCACCCAAGTTCTACCCATACGGACTTTGCTTTCCGCCCCCACGGCCCGTGAACTCGCTGCAAGCCACATATGGACGTCTTGACTCTCCAGAAGTGGGCCTACATCGATGCTGTTCCCAGCTACAACGCCACAGCGTATGGCTTGCTGCACCATTACAGCGGCATTTCAGCGGCGGATATTGACAGTCATTTACTACGCATTGTATGTTTTTTTTTTCTTTTTCATCAAATCATTTGGGGACATTTTTTTCATGCTCTTTACGGCGCAAGCACTGACTTTTTTTTTTCCAGCGAAAATTAGCGTGGGATGTATCCCGACAGCCGTTTATTGGTCGCTGGAGATTCTTGCAACTCGCCGAGCCTCTAGATCCATACTATCAGCAGGTTCTCTTTCGTCTTACGCTTCCCAAATCCAAAGACTGTATTTTGGATATTGGCTGCGGCTTTGGTCAAGCCTTGAGGCAACTACGCGCCGATGGGGTCGCTGGGTCCAAGCTCTTTGGTGCCGATATTGAATCTCGCTTCATTAGCCTGGGCTACGATCTCTTCCGTGACAAAGATACTCTAGGGGCAACCTTTGTCAGTGGCGACTTGCTGGACCCCGATGACGAGCGATTAGATATGCTTGCTGGGCGCTTTACAATGGTTCATGCCGACAGCTTCTTCCATCTAATGTCATGGACAGAGCAATTATATGCCGCCAAACGGCTGATAGTTTGGTTGAGAAAAGATACGAATAATGGTTTCATATATGGCAAGCATGCGGGTACAATACACCCGGCAGAAGTTGCTTTGGCCGGTAGCAGGCCCTACCTCCACAACCGCCAGAGCTTCCAGAGGCTATGGGACGAAGCCGGGGAAATGACGAATACGAAATGGCGCGTTGAGGTTGAAAGAAGTAAGGAATATTTGGACGATGAGATAGCGTGGCCATCCGGGTTAATTTCTGTAAATTTTGCAATATATCAGTTACCATACTTGGCCTCTGCTGCCGTCTCGACTGCGTCTGACTGCACGTAGCACGAAAGCCGTTGGATTAATGTATGAGATTAGCCTCGCTGAAATCATACCATGCAGCCATCAATCGGAACGGTCAAAATAGACTGTAAATTTTTCAGCATTAAATATGAATTCTTTCGCTTTTCTCCAGCTTCTTTGAACTAAACGGTGCAGCAAAATAATTTCGAAGCTTGCTTCGACTTTCCTGGTACTCCTGGGCATCTTGGTCATTGCGGTGCCCCTCCAAACCTCCCTCCACTTGAGCTCCTGCTAGCCGTGTCCCACCCGCATATCGGAGCTCGAATCGCAACCTCAGCAAACGACAACCACGACATCGCGCACTCCCGTGCGCCATCCTGGAAGCCCGCTGTGGCACTGCAGTGACACTCAACTACTATCTGGAACTATGATTCTGAGGATTATGTGAAATCAGCCAAGATGGATGCAGATTGGGACGAGGTACGACGCACTGCCCCAACCCTTCGTCTCTCCGCGCCGCGATGACGCGCATGCAAGCAATCGCGCCGAAATCGCGCCCATATGGCGGCATTCACCATGCGCTCTACCTGCAACACGATATTCTAACATTATCTCGTCTTTAGGTCGCCCGTATCCAGTTCCCGCCCCCGGGCGTCCACGCTCTGCCAAGCCCCGTCACGACGATGACGTTCGATACGTCGCAGGAACTGCTGTGGACTGGAAATGATTATGTACGAATTTATAACTGGCTTTAGGCGTACAGAGCGCCGATGAAAAAATCCTGACAGCATTCAAGGGACGCGTCACATCTTTCTTCGGGAGCGAGCTACAACGCTACACATCATTCAAGGCGCACCTGTCCTCAGAAGGACCCGTCCGACAGATTTTGGTCAACGATAAAGGCGTGATCGCTCTCGGATCCAGCGATGTCCACATGTCTATGAGAAGGGGCGCGACAATATGGCATATCAAGTATATTAGTTGTCCCGAAATACGACATCTTGCTGACTCGTCGACAGACATGAGGCGATGCGAGACCTGCGGTGTATGAGCTTTACTTCCAAAGGGACCGCCGAGATAATCGTAGCCGGGATGCAGGACACAATGCTTGTTATCGACCTCAATAAGGGTGAAGTCGTCAAGCAGGTCCGTGTTGCCACAGTTTGGTATCCTATGGAGACTGACATTTGCAGGTCCCGACCGAGTACCAATATAGCATGATGAAACGAGGTCGTTATATTTGCGCCGCAACGCAGACTGGTCTTTGCAACTTGCTTGACCCAGTCACCTTTACCGTCATCAAATCCTGGAACGCTCATTCGGCGCTGATCAGCGACATGGATGCCCAGCACGATTTCATCGTCACGTGCGGATATTCACTACGACAGGGACAGAACTATATGCTTGATCCGTTCCTCAACGTCTTTGACATCAAGAATATGTCCTCCATGCCACCAATCCCATTCCCAGCCGGAGCTGCATATGTTCGCATGCACCCAAGAATGCTCACCACGAGCATCGTCGTGTCTCAAAGTGGCCAGATGCATGTTGTTGATCTTATGAACCCTAACACAAGCAACGTCAGACAAGCAAACGTCATGACTTATCTCAACATGTTTGAGATTGCACCCTCTGGAGAGGGAATGGTATTGACCGATGCCGAATGTCTTATTCACTTATGGGGGTCACGTACAAAACTCCATTTTGTCGATCTTGCCACACCAATCGAGTTTGCCGCCACGGAAGAACGATTAGCCCCTATAGACTGGTCTCCAGAAGTGTAAGTATTTGAACCTTAGGTCAAGACTTGGATACCAACTTATACGCCACAGACCACTGAATACCGTCGGACTTCCATACTACCGCGATGTTCTAGCTTCTGCATGGCCAGATCTAGTGTGTGACGTGGGAGCACCGCCACCGAAAGTTGATCCGCAGGCCTTTTCTACGCTCAAAGCTACTACCTTTGCGTTGTATGGGCGAAACACGCGAGGTCTAAGGCGAAACCAATTTGAAGACACTCGGAACTTGACAAAGTCGGTCAATGCCGGGCTTCGGACACCAAAATTTCTGAGTGAAAAAGCGCGAGAGTCGGCCAAGTCTGACAGCGTCGGCGATGACCGGGCTGATGAGCTCAACAACCCACTGGCAGAGGCTGAAATCGAGAGCAAGAAATCCGAGGTGCCTGCCATGTATGGAAACGTGGAGATCAAATACAGCAAGTTTGGTGTTGATGACTTCGATTTTGGGTGAGTCAGCTGTTCGAACATTGTATCGCAGAAGCTAACAATCGCAGATTCTACAATAAGACAAAGTATTCAGGACTCGAGATCCACATATCAAACTCATACGCCAACTCTCTTTTGCAGATGATGCATTTCATTCCCGTCATCAGAAATCTTGCCCTTCGCCACGCTGCTACGTCTTGTCTGAGCGAGATTTGCATATTATGCGAGCTTGGTTACTTATTTGATATGCTGCAAAAGGCTGAAGGATCCATTTGCCAGGCGACGAATCTGCTGAAGACGCTTAGCAATCAACCTCAGGCCGGCGCACTGGGCCTTCTAGAGGAAGACCCGCGCGGTTCCTCGCTCAACATGATGCTGCAAGGCTTGACCCGCTTTCTACTCGACAAGATTGTACAAGACTACCGATTAATCGAGGGTACGTCCGCGCCGATGGAACAGGTTCTATCAACTTCTGCAACCAGCTCCATCAACTGCATATCTTGTCGCAGCGAATATACACGGCCAGGGTCAACCTTGGTGAACGACCTGCTGTACCCCGCACCAAAGACACAAACAAACGTCTCAAAGATGCCAAAAGTCACCTTCTCACAAGTTCTTAAGAACAGCGTGGAGAGAGAGACAACATCAAAGGGATGGTGCGGAAAATGCAGCAAGTATAAGAATATTGCGACAAAGAAAACTATCCACAGCGTCCCAGCTGTTCTCATTTTAAATACAGCGATTAACAGCCCTGAACATCGCATGCTTTGGTCTACGCCAGGTTGGCTTCCAGAAGAAATCGGCATCATAGTGGACCAAGGCCAATTCTTCTGCTACGAAGGTGAGGATTTGAAGCTACACCTTCAGCGCGGCATGCACAATATTACCGTATACTCGTTGATTGGCATGGCAATCAATATTGAAAACGGGCAAACACAGAAGCCGCATCTGGTATCAATGATCAATGTCGCACACGCCGAAGCAGAAGCGCCGGGTAAGAGCCAGTGGCATTTGTTCAACGACTTTTTGGTGCGGTCAGTCAGCACCGAGGAAGCGCTTACCTTCAACCCTTCATGGAAAGTACCATCAGTCATTGCGTTTCAGGTCAAGGACGCCAATAACAAGCTGGATTCGACATGGAGGGATCAACTTGATACCTCAGTTCTATACCAGGACGTTAACCCACACCCTCCTGAGAGCAAAACCTACAAAGTACTCAAACATCCCGAAGATCATCCAGGTCCCGATACCATCATTGCCCTGGATACTGAGTTTGTGGCTGTTCGGCAACCAGAAATTGAGATGAATTCCGATGGCGAGCGAGAGACAATTCGACCCATTGTATACGCCTTGGCAAGAGCTTCAGTTGTTAGGGGTCAGGGCGAAGACGAAGGACTGCCCTTTATCGACGACTACATTACTATCAAGGAGCCAATTGTCGACTATCTCACATCCTATTCCGGCATTACTCAATCAGATCTCGACCCTCGGATCTCCCAGCATAGCTTACTGCCCCTCAAAATGGTTTACAAAAAGCTCTGGGTTTTGCTCAACCTGGGCTGCAAATTTCTGGGCCACGGCCTCAAACAGGATTTCCGCGTCATCAACATCCACGTGCCCAAGTCGCAGATTATCGACACGATTGATCTTTTCTATCTAAAGACTAGACTGCGGAAATTATCGCTTGCTTTTTTGGCATGGTATCTGCTTAAAGAAGACATTCAAATGGAAACACACGACTCGATTGAAGACTCACGCACCGCGCTCAAGCTATATAGAAAATACCTCGAATTCGAAGATGCCGGGATTCTGGAGCCGATGCTGCAAGACATTTATCGCGCTGGGCGAGATGTCAACTTTAAGCCGCCGCGCAAGGACGGACAAGACGTGCAGCGTATAGATACACCACCTCTGCCAGTTGACGGAAACGGGGGCCCGTCCACGCCGGTGACAAAGGCGGCGACGCTGGCAACGCCTGGGTTTGGAGGCGCCGGCGCAAGCTGGACCCCTGGCAAGGGCTCACCGCTGAGATAGGACGTCATGACGGGAAGCATGGTGCGAACTTGTAAAGCTTTGATGGAGCAGTAAATTACACATTAGTTTATGACACAATGGAATTCTGTAACTACATTGTTTCGAGGGAACGTGATTGGGCCAGCATCTAAAACGCAGAGTTGTGACTGTTACGTTGTACAGAATGGGAACTGTAGTCGCTCACGATGCAGGAATTAGAAGCGGATCGAATAAGTACTTCCATACCTGATAATCAACAAAACGTATCCTCATTATCTACATCTGCTGTCGTCAATCGCGTGGCTCTAATATCCGCACCATGAGACATCAACCAGACCTCGACACGCAGTTCTATTCGGCCTAGAGCTGGATTTTGTAAACATGTGAGAAGAAGGAAAAGTTGGAAAAAAGATGTACAAAACACCCTTTGGCCCGCCAACAATGTAAAATAACCCATAAACGCCGATCGACAAGTGTAGCAGCAATCGACAAAAATAGTCAAGAATAGTCAGCAATGACAAATATGATTCTAGGGTAAAAAAAAAAAAAAAAAAAGAACAAGAACAAAGTCTGCAGGAGAGGAAACAAGAAGAGAAGAGAAGGGAGGTGGACCTGAGTTATAAACATTGTGTATCAACGACGACTTATTTTTCGAGTTTAGAATAATTGTTCTGCCGAAATCGTTTCAGAAGGCTTTTTGCCTACATTGGCCCTTGAAAGTACCTTTCCCAACACCCAGTCTATGCATAGAAGCAATATTCCGCTCCTGTACTTTTTATTCAGCTTCTTCACACTTGGTAATCGCCGCGGCGGACGGGTTCGTCGGAGCGGTGTTGCTCGCTGCTATGTTGTTGTGCCACAAATTCCGCACTCGCCCGCTCATCACTCGGGGGGGTGGGTAAGCACCGCGGTGGGCCTATCTTGGGGATTCTAGCCCTCGAGGGCTGCAAGCCACATCCCTGGATTGTGTCTGCGTAGACGATCTTCAGCCCGCGACAGGCGCGATGTATCAAGGCACTAATCAGTTACCGTCGTGATGTTGCTGCGGCTTCGGCACACGACTTGAAATCCGTGGCGACCCTCGATTATTTCAAACCGAAATGTTTCTGGCGTCGTGCGTTCGTCGCCATGCTACAGCTCAGATTCAGCGCCATTGGTTGACATTGCCATGGGGCTACCGTTCTGGTTCTGATTCTGCCTTTGACGGAGACGCTCGTTGCCTGGTGGTCGTCTACGCACAGGAGCGCGGGTAGTGAAGTTGTCCTCGTCGTCGTCCGAGTCTGGGTGCGATTCCCGGTACAGCCGAGCCTCGTCCAATTCGGTTACATCGGCAGGCCGTTCTCTTAGCCAGCGCATGCGCGGACCTGTGCGAGCCCGCTCCGATACCTTGAAGCCGTAGATCTTGGGCTCATAAATACGGCCGGGACCAAGACCAGGGGCAATGTTCTTGGCATACATGCCGTTGACGATCTCTCCTCCCTCGGCAGCTGAAAGGCGAGTGTTGATCGAGCTCAACGCTTCTGAGCCACGTCGCGTCAAGTCATATTCTGGAAAAGTCATGAGGAAAAGGGCGCCAAAAGTGCGGCCAAAGAAAGCTCCATCGACGGTTTGGAAGCGGCTGTTGGGAGGAACATAAACGTCCAGACAGGCGGGGCAGAAGAGCTTGACTGTGTCCTCGCCAGGGATATCAGACAGACCAACAGGGAGAGTGCGCGATTGTTCACAATGCGTGCGAGGGCAGGAGCCAAAATGTCCGAGCTCGTACTTTTCACTCATTTGTTGTATGCCGACCCGTGAGCAGATAAATCGCTGGTGAATGAGACCGTACAGCAGCTCGGCAGAGGATTCGATGACAGTGAGGTCGCTAGCAATTCTGGCGTGATGTCTTCTCTCGTTGCCATATCGAGAGCCATGCTCCATGGTGGATTCGTTGTCGTAGTCTTCCTCATCTTCGTCGAGATCTTCGTCGTCTTCTTCGGGTTCAACATCGAGAATCATCTGAGATGCAGTGTCAGAAACTCGTGCGGAGCAAAAGGAATTTGAATTGATGTCAGTCTTACCTCTAAAGCCTCCTTGTACATGTCCACTTGCGTCTGTAAGCCAGTCAAGTTGAAGTCATCTTCGATGAAGTCCTCAGACACCTCTGCGAAATATTCGTGCCCGAGCAGGGAGCAAAAGCTCGTGATCCAAGACTCGGGCGCGGCTGAAGACGTCGACATGGCGCACTCGGCAACGTCAAAAATTGAGGTTTTTAAGCCCTGCGAGATCTCGTACTCAGCCACCTTGGATTTGAGAGGTCGTCCGACCTCTGAGCCGTCTTGATATGCCTATTGGTGGTTGGCGCACGCGTAGGGGCTCCGCAGCGCACGTCGTCTCCCGCACGGTACAACGCAACTTTCGATACCACAAAAGTACTATGCAAGGGTATAGACTTGTGCGCACCGCCCAAGTGACAAAAGTGATTCCCCCACTCGGTCGGGCTGCTGGGATAAGGCTGCTGAAGCTGCGTAGAATGGCGTTTTGATAACAGTGGTGGTGGGATGTTGCGGTGGGGAGGGGCGAGAGACGCCGAGCCAACCCAGCGCTGGCGAGTTGGCGGAGGCTTGGTTTACCCGGCTTCCGCGAAACCCGTACTGCTGTCCAGCTAGAAACGACATTTAATTACGAGCTCGAGGAGATAAGTATATGATGTCTCATCAATTTTTCAGGCTTTTTCAAGTTCTTTGCCAGGCAGAATCATGCCTTGCATTTCCAGCTGCCGTTCGACAGCGAGGTTGTTTCACAGCAGCCTACGCCGCAGGCGCACTGTGCTCCCAGTACATACCATAGATTGGAATGCCACAGCCGACAGCATCCAATCATTTAGGCACGGTGCCTTTGCGGAAAAGAGACCAGTTCTCTTCAGGAAAGACCATGGCTCCCCGACATCATCGATACCTGCCCTGACTAAATGGTTTCAAGGTCCAGCGCAAGGCTCTGTTGCTGGGGGACGCTTGTCAAAACAGCTCGAAGAGTTTCATCAGTTACCTTTTCCCTATGAAATAGTAGGGGCATCAAAAGAAAATTTGCAAGCAATACATGCTTTTTGCACCTCGTTAATCGCAAGTCAAGATATGCAAGACCAGATAATAGCTGGCATCTTACATTCGACTTTGGCCGATTCTGCAGGCGACCGCTTCTTTCAACTTTTCGCGCCTTTGAAGCTGTTACACAAAGCATTGGAGTTCAATCAGCTGAGAAAAGCTTCCGGCGAAAGTACTGTGGAGCTGTACATTGCGCAGTCGCTTCTTGCAGACCTTCCCACGCGGCTACAGCAAGACGTGCCGACCCCAACACTGGTTTTGGAGGCTGGCAAGGGCGACGTCTACAGTTCATCTATCTGGCTGGGGACTGAGCCTACATATACTCCGCTTCACCGAGATCCCAATCCAAATTTGTTCTGCCAGCTTCACAACCAAAAGGTTGTCAGACTTCTCCCGCCACAGCTAGGGGAAAAGCTGTATCTTCAAGTCCAAGTCCAGCTTCGCCTGCAAGGGAGCAGCCGCATGAGGGGTGTGGAAATGATGGAGGGAGAAGAGCGCAAAGTGCTTCAGGAGGCGGTTTGGGAGCCTGAAACACCCATCGAAGAGATGTGCGAAGCAGAACTCGATGCTGGGGACGCCCTCTTCATCCCAGAAGGGTGGTGGCACTCTGTGAAAAGTAGCGGGGCATCAGGAGACTTGAATGGATCTGTAAATTGGTGGTTTCGCTGATTCTGCTCCATGTTAACTACACTACCGAATGGCGCATATCATTGTAGCGCTTTGTAACACCAGCCGGGGCTGCCGCCCAACATTGTACCATCAAGTGTCGCACCTACTTTCCGGCTCAATGATTACCCGTGAAGTTATTCGATTGCATGGTTCCGTTCAAGAAGCACGTAAGGACGTGGTCGGGGATTGATAGATGAGACTTTTGCTGCGTTTGCTGCAAGACGGCCAATCTGATGACAAGTTCAAGAAGAGAGAGCGATGTAGTGACCATGCTGAAGAGGCTGGTCGGTGTACTCTCGCTGACACTAGACGCGGCGTCCTGTAAAGCTGATTTGTCCTCGCTATGCGGGTGATAAACTGGGCCGAGGCATAACGAGCTTAGTTGATTGATCACTTCATCGGTTACGGTTTCATGGCTATTTCGCTGCTCAGATTCGTCACTGCTCGATTGTGCAGACTCTGCGTCACTCTGGTCGTATTGGCTTCCGTCAGATGCATCTGCCGTGTACATTTCGAGGGCGATCCATTCGGGATCAAGATATGAAGGAAACTGAGAGTGGTGCAAAGAAGCATTGCCGCACTTGCCATTTTCACCATCTAGTGCTGCGCCGTCACATTCGCTAAGGATTTGACAGTCTACGTGCTGTTGCGTTTCGTCCTCGTTTTTGTTGTACTCTGAAGTGTTGGTCAAGGTAGTGAAGTCTATCTCTCTCTTCAGTAAGAGTATGGGAGTGCTGTTGGCTTCCAAGTCGTCTTTAATGTTGAGAATAGCGGCAGAGTTGGTGTACAACAATTTGGTAATTTCCGTAACGGGGATCAGATCTGATTTGCTGCCTCCAACAGAGTCGGTGGGGTTGTCATGTAGCCTTCCGTCATCTGTGTCTTCTTTGATCTCGAGATAGTAAAAGTATCGCGAAGAACCCCGTGGCCATTGCTTTCCGTTTCGTTCTCGCTGGCAAGGTGCACGATGGAGTTTCAGGCGGGCTTTGTGCAGGACTTCTTGCCAGGCGGGCTTTCTTACACTGTCAAGATTAGGTTCTTCGGACATTCTGTACCGGAGATCTTGATTCGCAGGGCCGTAAGAATAGCCTTTAAATATCATGTATACTGATACGATGAAGTCGGGCCCGACTTGCACAGTCGTTCGCGGGCTGGCTGTGAACTGGCTGTCAGCAACCATGAGGAAAGCGCTGGCTTGGAGCATTCTTGAAGGTGAGACAGATTCAGGCAGATTGGTCGCCAGACTTTCGCCAGAGGCCGAGATAGCTAGCTGTAAAAGGGGTATGCTTCCATTTATGCGCTCAATCAGCACTTTGATGTCAGCAACCAAATGACGAATAGCCGCCTGACTAGTTTTGGCAGAAGTCAGTGAGGCAATCTTGTGGCCAAGTGAAGTTATACCCTTCTGAATCGATGTTGTAAGCGTTAGTGCCGATTCTAGAGCGCTATTCCCTTGCCCGGATCGAAGCTCGATCAAGTTGATTGCCGGCGTGATGATCTAAGCTATATTAGCAGGCTAGGTTCGAAGAAGGCCTCGAGCGTCCCACATACCTTTATTTTGCTATCAAGTTCATCTTGGAGGGTCTTGAGCTTGGAAGATAGCTTTTCATCGCTCACAGTCGTCAGGAAATGCGAATATTGCTGCAAAGCGTACGACGATGTAAAGACGATGCCTGATTTAACCGCCAGCTTCATTGCCTGCATACCGACCAGCGAGAGGAACTGTTCCATGACCGGTAGTTTCGCGGCATCTGGTACTTAGTAGGAAATACTGAAAACGTGTATTTTATCTCGTAATTCTGCCGATGACTTTGCATGACCATGCCCAAGCCATCCACTGCGCAAACGAGTGAGAGCGTACAGTGCGACTATCAAGGCTGCCCATCCGCACTGGCCGCACACGCTGAAAGCTTGGGTGAACTGCAGCATGACAACCGCCAGCACACCCCACGGCCAAATCTCTTGGATTTTCAAGTCGTGAAAGAAAATTGATAAGAATTTCTGCCAATCACTAGAATTATTGGAGCTGTGTAAACGCAACTCCTTCCTGGCACGCTTTCAGTTTGAATGTTGGTGGTGCGTACCTCACTGTGCTGCCCCTCCACAGCCCATCCCCGCGACAGTCTCATGGTGGGGCTTGAATTTTCACCACGCAACCTTTTGCCCAGGCATAAACAAAATAGTCAGGCTCGAACACTGAGTCACTCTACTCGAATACTCGACTATCCTGAGCAAGTATACATTCTTGTTTAAAAGGGCTCTTGTCTGTGGCAGTCGCTACCACTCCCGACATTTCGGCCGACCTGGGCGACGCATCAACATCGAGCGGCAACAATCAAATTTCTCCCCACTACTCGGTCGCATTCACGTACACAGTCCGCCTTCTCGCACCATAACTTAAACATGTCGAACCTCAACTCTTGGGAAGATGACCCTTCGGCCCAGGACGAGAATCTCTCTCGCCAGGCCCAGCAGCAGCTCAACATGAATGCGGCCAACCAGCAGCAGCAGGGTGGTTTCCGCCCAGCGATTCCTACTTTTCAGCCTGGTGCTGCATCTTTCCAGCCAGGCGCTCAGTCCTTCACTCCCGGACAGCAATACGGCGGAGGATACGGCCAGCAGTACCAGCAGCAACAGCATCAATACTACCAGCAAGGGTACTACCCGCAGTACGGCCAGGGCCAGCAATTCAGCCAGTACAATCAGCAGGGCCAGGGTGGCAACTTCAGCCAAGGATATAAGCAAGGACAGGGTGAGTTTCAGAATACGGCTCCTGGTCTTTCTTTTGCTCACAATAGATACAGGATACCCCCAATATGGCCAGCAGCAAGGCCAGCAGTACCAGCCTCAAGCTTCCAAAGCCCCTGCCACTCAAGCGGCTCCTGCGGCATCCAACGCTACCAAGCCCGTCGCTACCAAGCAGGGCGGCGCCAAGGTTCTGAGCATTGGTGGTGATTCGGCCAAGCCCAAGGTCGCCAAGGTACTCTCCATTGGTGGACCCTCTGTCCCGGCCAAGTCTGATGAAAAGGCTGAGACCAAGGTCGATACCAAGCCGGAACCCACCGACAAGCCTGAGGCTGGACAAAAGACGACAGCCGCGAAGGCTATCGAGAAGACTGGAGAGAAGACCATGGCCTCCAGCGGACGTACCTCGCCCACTCCTTCATCTGGCCGTTCAAGCCCCTCGGGAGACAAGAAACCTCAGCGCGATGTCGATGCAGTCACGAAGGAGCAAGCGGCCGACGTCGACGAAGAGACACTCAAAGAAATTTATGGCAAGGAGCATGTAAACGTCATCTTTATTGGACACGTTGATGCCGGTAAATCCACACTTGGCGGTTCGATTCTCTACGCTACTGGTATGGTCGACGAGCGAACCATGGACAAGTACAAGAAGGAGGCCAAGGACCTTGGTCGTGAAACTTGGTATTTGTCATGGGTCATGGATCTGACGAAGGAAGAACGCTCGAAGGGCAAGACTGTCGAGGTTGGTCGCGGTTTCTTCGAGACGGAGAAACGCAGATACAGCATTCTCGATGCCCCTGGCCACAAGACGTATGTGCCCAACATGATCGGTGGTGCTTCTCAGGCCGATGTTGGCATTCTGGTCATTTCGGCCAGAAAGGGTGAATACGAAACTGGTTTCGAGCGTGGTGGTCAGACTCGTGAGCACGCCATGTTGGCCAAGACGCAGGGTGTCAACAAGCTCATTGTTGTCATCAACAAGATGGATGACCCTACTGTCGAATGGTCACATGAGCGCTACCTGGAATGCACAACCAAGCTCGCTCAATTCCTCAAGGGAACTGGCTACAATCTAAAGAACGACGTCTTCTTTATGCCCGTCGCTGCTCAGACGGGCCAGAACATCAAGGATCGTCTGCCCAAGGGCAAAGCTCCTTGGTACGATGGCCCATCGCTGCTCGAGTATCTCGACAGCATGACTGCACTGGAGCGCAAAATCAACGCACCCTTTATGATGCCTGTCAATGCAAAGTACAAGGATATGGGAACTATGATTGACGGCAAGATTGAGGCTGGTGTTATCAAGAAGGGTATGAGCCTTGTGATGATGCCTCGCAAGCAGAATGTGGAACTGTCTGCGCTTTACGGAGAGCAGGAAGAGGAAGTTTCTGTACTGCAGTGTGGTGACCAAGTTCGCCTGCGTCTCAAGGGCATTGAGGAGGAAGATATTCTCCCTGGCTTTGTGCTGTGCTCGCCCAAGCGTCTTGTGCACTGCGTCTCCGAGTTTGAGGCGCAAATCAGAATCCTGGATCTCAAGAGTATTTTGACATCTGGCTTCAACTGTGTTCTCCACGTGCATTCGGCGATTGAAGAGGTTACGTTCTCGGCGTTGCTTCACAAGTTGCAGAAGGGAACCAACCGCAAGAGCAAGCTGCCTCCTACACACGCGAAGAAGGGCGACAGCATCATTGCTCGCATGCAAGTCATTGGTGGCGCTGGAGCTGTCTGTGTTGAGCGATTCGAGGACTATGCCCAGATGGGCCGTTTCACGCTTCGTGATCAGGTAAGTCCAAATGTGACAGGGGATGATATGACAAGAATGCTGACATGTCTTGCAGGGACAAACGATTGCCATTGGTAAAATTACGAAGCTGATTCTTGACGAATAAGAGGAAGACGGCCAGGTTTAATTCGAATACGGGATATACATAGGATGATTACGCATGAAGGAGGAGGGAACTAAAAGCATGAAGCATCACGTCAAAGATACTATTGCCAAGCTCGGAGCAGAACGGGGGGTTCATTAGCTTCATAGGGGCGGGCAGATGAATTTTTCAAGAATAGATGATGCAATGACAATGAGCCAAAAGTTTGTGGCGGGCCTGTGAAGCGGTGTGTGGCAGGAGCGTGTCCGGGCATAAAGCCGGAGGGGCCAAGTCGGAAGCGGAGCAATGGCCGGAGCCGGAATGCGGGATGCGGAAGACGAAGCGAGAGCATCAACTGCACACCGCCCGACTGGTAAATGGAGGGCTTGGGGGTAAGAAAGAGGTAGGTGTGGATCCACAGATTCTGGAACAATGGGGTGCCAATGTCTGTCTTGGGCTGCAAACGCGTTTTGCAATTGGGAATACTACGTTGACAAGTTGATCGGCGTGCTCACGATGACTTCAACGACTTGATGATGGCAACGAGCATCATAGCAAAGCTGCATGACGGACCCAACTACTGCAAGGTAGACCAAGCGCATGACCGTTGCAAGAATACATTAAGGAGAACGGTGTCGGAAGAATGCGGATAGATTGCAAGAGCAGAAACCATTCAAAACGTAATAACAGGTATGGGAAGTTGCTGCGAGCACGAAAAGGAACCGGAGCTGCGGAAACGGCGGGCAAGAAAGCGGTCGAGACAAGAAGGGCTCTGCCGTGAACCGAGACGTGTCGGCCAGGAAGCGTTGTGCAAAGACCTGGAACGGAGTGGGGGGGACGGGGACGGGGGACGGGGGGCACGGCGGGGGGTGCGCTTGTCGTGCGCGGGGGGTTGGGGTTGGGGGAGGAGCGAAGGAGGCTCTGCGAAAGAGTCCATTCGCAAAAATAATGACGACTAGTAGTTGTGTGGGCTTGCAGTGGGTTCTGATATTTGAATCAATGGAAAACTTGAAGTGGGATGGCAGTCCCGCGTTTTAGCAGGGGGGGGAGGAGGGAGCGTGTGGTGAAGACGGTAATGCGATGCAACGCGGGACGGCAAAATCGGGACGGATAGGAAAAGATGTCACTTCTTTTTTCTGTCTCGTCAAGTGGATTTTTGTTGTTCCAAATATCACTTTGACATGTGCAAGTGGTCGGAGCGGCTGTGCAAGAAAGGCAAAAGGGAAAAGAGAGATAAGGAGAAGAGGGGGGGGATGCGTTCGTTGCTTCGATAGGAGCAAATAGGGATGGACGTGGACAATACGACGATACTTGGGTAGTACGGATAGGTACGTACAGGCGAGCGTGCAGAGCGCATCACTTGCCACATGGGTAGAGTTCGGATCGGGACGGAGAGGAACGATCTTGTTAGGCAGCTCGCGCGGGCGGTGCTGGGGGTGGGTGCGTGTGCGTGTGCGTGTGCGTGTGCTTGCACAGCAATTGGGGAGCCGCCGCGAGATAGGACGGAGAGAAGAAAATTAGTGGCAACGAATCAGAGCATGTGCTAGGAAAACGGTAGAATATACGGTACAACAACAGATAACGGGACGGTAACGGGGCATGACGAAAACGGATCAGTCGTGGCTGATATGATAACGATAACGGTGACTCCCCTGTTTAAAAACATACACCCCAATGGCAATTATATGTAGTTTGCGCATGTATGCCTGGGAGCCTGGCGTCGATACGGGGAAGATGCAAGGCGTGTAAAAGGCGATTGAGTTGTACTTGCTAGTAAGTCTTACTGCGAGTGTGTGTGTGGTTCTTTGACCAAGAATCTGGGGTTATCGCAGCCTCAGTCACAAGGCCATGAACGACTTTGTTTCCTTTTACGGCAAGTTGCTTTTCAATCACACCAAGTACCATGCAAGTGCCGCGACAGGCTCACTTCTTGTCGTGGCATTGACACGACGTTGATGTCAAAGAGGGATTTTATTTCGTTCGATTTTTGGCCTTGGGCATTGATTCAGCCCGAAACATTGAAAGGGGCAACATCGCAGGATAACTAGGGGCCCAGGTTACCGTCGGGTAGAGGTGCAGCTGCCGGAGACTTTTTTTTGCTGTTTCTGTAACTGCAGACGAACAAGGAAGTAGTTACGTATTAGAAGAAGAAGAAATGTCGCAATCAAGTAAAGACAAGAGAAACAAATTTGACAACTCAGAAAAAAAAATCAGAGCACGAGAGCTGAACGCTGCTGACACTGCTGAACGCTGCTGGAGGGTGCCTGGGGGGCCCAAATGCTTTGTAAGAAGAATTACCGCCCAATAGTTACCGCATTATGTGGGGACCAAAGGACGCCGTGATGTAATAAGAACCCCGGCCCCCAAAAAAGTGAAGCTGATGGGCGAGACAAAGGTTATCGTGCATCGCGCGAATGAAAAACGAACAACGCATTGGCGCGCCACGAGAAGGTGTTCTGTAACTGAACAGTGGGCGTAGTCAACGCCTTTTTTTCCCTTTTATTTTCTGTGACGGCTGGAAGAGCTGGAAATGATGATCCCAGTCTTTTGGTCTTGGCATTGCTCTTTGTGGAATGGGACATGTCACGCCGCTACAATTTTTTTAATTTTTTAATTTTTTTGTCTTTTTGAAATTTTCATCTTGAGACAGAGCTGTAAAATCGGTACATGAAAGGCTTGCATATCGTGCACAAGTAACCGATACATAACAAAAAGACGAGGCTGTGCCGCTGTGAAAAGGTTCTGTCGATAATTCGCACCTGATTGGCTTTCTCAGCGAAGCGGTTGATATATACCCTGGCGGACAAATATCACACCCCTCTGATTCAACTTTGCTTCTTATTATTATTATAAATACTTTTTTTTTTCTTATTGCCGTGGTGACTTGCAGATGATGCACATGGCAATTGCCGGGCAAAGTCGGAGAGACCGGATGCATGCATGCATCTGTCTCTGTTCTCTGCCCACACAGCCTTCCCCCCACCCTTCCAAGTACCAGACGAAAAAGCAACAGACGCGCGCAAGTTGAGCCCCCCCGTTTGAATGCACCACTCTCTGACTTTGTGTGTGACTGTGAGACCTGAATCGGGGTTTTCATTCTTCGTTTTACTTTTTTTTTTTTTTTCGTTGGGTAACATTACGGCATCAACGAGCCGAGACGCGGGATTTCTTCACAAATCGTATGTCTCTACTGAATACTACCTGGTGCATTGCAAACCGAACAAGTTGCGTTGGCAGACAAGTATCAAAAGTTCAAGTTCAGTTTAAAAACTAACCGGGACAGAGCCGGCGCAAGCCGCGTTTAGGCTGATGCTGCGGAATGCCCTTCCCCCCCCCTCCCCAGCTGTCTCTTACTCAAATCGATCAGCACCGCCATTGATCCAGAACCATGCATTTCAACTTCTTTCTACAGCTTCTTCTTCTTCTTCTGCTTCTCGCGAAAAGTCGGAACGGTAGTTGGTGGGGTTTTATTGAGCCGCAAGAACGGCGCCGCGGGACAAGACCGGGGGGGGAGGGGGGGCGTGTGCATGTTGGGGCTGGTCTTGGCTTTTGCGGGGAGCGCCAGTCGTTTTTTAGTGGATCCAAAGTGGAAGGCCACTGACCAAGCATTGGCAATAAGCCCCAGCTGGGGACCACAACAGTACCAGAACCGCTGTAAATTCTTGTGTAAACTTGGGCTGCCCTACAAACTTGTAAGTTGTGTCTGCAGCATTCGCTGCCTTCAAAAATGCCCGTAGAATTTTCATTCAAGTTTGGCAAAACACATACCTCGTATCCCCACACGTACATGCCCCTCAAGACACATCATCTTTACGACTCGCAACTCTTTTCTCATGTTATTGCGCAGCACGCGCTACCTCCCAGAATTAGGGGTGGCTTAGACCCCACGACGGGCTCCTTAGCGGAGAGCGCCACTTGGGCACCAGGTTGGATTCGGATTCCCCTGTGCCCCTCGTGCCCCTCAAGAAAGCTTTTTTTTTTTCTCTTTTCCCCCCTGTGCGCTGGGTCAGCTGGTCGGTTGGTATTTTTATTTTTATTTTTTTGTTCTTTGCCCTTTCTAATTGAGGCCAAGGTCGGGGGTGGCTGGACAACGGCATCTTGTTACTGGTATTACAGATACAATGGTTGGTGCTTACCGATGCGTGCATGCATGCTTCGCTTTACCAGTACACCCCTTTTGGTATTACGATTCTCTATGTAGTCCCCTTCATGTCCGTACAGAGTATGTATGCATTGTGATTTTTTTTAAAAAAAATGATTAATTTATCTTCTTCTCTTCTTCATTCGCTACTTGGGTCCGTGCCTTGCCGTGGGTAGCGTATATTTGCGCCGGTCGGGTCGAAATTGGGCGTGCATCGTGCTGCATCTTTACTGAGCCACTGTATTTCTTATATTATACAATTTCCAGACAACATTGAATATGGCCACATGACCACCACGAATTCCGGGGAAATCTTGTCCAATCTCACTGTAGCAATATCCATGCCATTCCTCTGTAATCTCCTACTCTTTTTCTTCATTTCATGATCAAGCGCGTCGATATTTAGTCCAACATCTTCCACTTGTTTGATGCTATCCCGTCGCACATGCGCGCCCGCCCGCCGCAGTGGAACCGCCCTGCCCCCCGGAAAACGCCCCCCCTCATCAAGCTCGGGTCGGCACCGTCATCTGACGAAAAGAGCAATCCAGACCCGGGTCTGGAGTCTCTGGGCATGGCTGCGTCTTGGTCCAAAGTGTTTGTTCGTTTTTTTCTTCACCCGTTTTCTGCCCCCCTCGTGATGATTCGACGGGTCTCATCTGAAACTACCGTATTGCATTTTGCATTTTTGCAAATTTGTTGGTTACTCTTTCTTGTCAATCTTCCTTCTGCCACCCCATCCCTCGCTTGCTACATACACCCGTCTCCGGGTTCGGAATTGCATAATGACGCTTCACCGAGTCGATTTGTACTTGACGCGTTGGCAAAGCCACGCTTGGCACCTGAAGGAGCGGCGGAAATGGCAACACCTGAATAGAACCAGTTC